CTACACATCTATATTTATTTACATGTTTATGTAAACATGGAAACCACATTTTGAAATAGCAGCATGATAAAGTTATTCATTTTCAAAGAAAACAAATGAGTTTTGAATTTTGAAAAATTCTGATTTAAAAAAAATGGCTATAGATATGAATTGGACATAGTAAAGCCCATGTTGATTCTACATTTTCAGTTGTCTAGTATTTTAAATGATTGTGTATATGAGTTTATGTCTTATTATGTCTCTAAACATTACCTGAAGTGTACTATAATTTTCACATTATTATCTCATACTTCGTTTTTAATAAGATTGGTAAAAGTTTTGAAATTTTAATTTTGGTTTTTCCCCACTGCTTAGAGTTTGGTGATATAAAAGGAAAAGAGGTTTCCATAGTTGCTAACATTCACTGGATTTTGTTCCAAAAGCTGGGTTTTTATTTATTTATTTAATCCTCACCTGAGGATATTTTTTCCATTGATTTTAGGGAGAGTGGATGAGAGAGGATAGACAGAGAGAAACATCTATGTGAGAGAAACACATTAATTGATTGCCTCCTACACATGCCTTGACCAGGGTCCGGGCCAGGGAGGAGCCTGCAACCAAGATATCAGACTGGGATCGAACCCAGTACCCTTCAGCCTGCAGGCTGATGCTCTACCCACTGAGCAAAACTGGCTAGGGCCAGAGTATGGGTTTTAGAAGAATTTTGAATTAAATCCACATTCTTCACCCAAGCCTAGTGATACAGTCCAACATTTCAAAGACAGTTATGCCATAAACAGCTATAGTTAAATAATTAAAACATGGAAGTACAATAAAATAAGAATTGACCACTTGATAGTGGAATACTACATAAATTGTCTATATTGGGAACATGTGGTGGCTTTCAAACATCTGACTTCTATAATTCTAAAGTGTATAGTTTATTTGAAGGCAGAAACTTTTTTCTCCTTTGCATATATTTATAAGAATTCAGGTTAATAAATTTGTCGCTGTCCCAATTTGCATTCATTTTCTTATTTTTAACTTAGAAAAGTCATTTTGGAGTACAAATCCATAACATAAATATATTCACCTCAAATACTTTATTTCTAAGTACTGAAATGTGAGGATAAAGAGATTAATCCTGTAAATCTTGTTACTTTTATAGGTCTGTGTAAAAAAAAATCACATATTAACATAGTCCCCAATAAGAGGAAGAAATTATTTAAAAGCACATACATGGTACAGAAAAGTTAAAGTGTCTTTAATTTTAAATGATCATTAAAAATAAGCTTATCTGAGTGGCATTATACCAACTGTAATAATTGCAAGAGCTGAAAGGTCCCAGTGGTTTTGCAATGTAATGTCTGCACAACCACATTTAAGTTGTTAAGGGAAGTTACAGCCCTCCCATGTATGAGACAACTGAACTCTTAACCATCACAACAAATGCTGGCCTTAAATTATACTGCTTTAAATGAAATATTACCTGGGTTGCTAGATAGTTACATTATGTGTGTATAAATGATGCTAAAATAGCCTTCAAGGGGAAATACTAGTGTTCACTGAGCAGTGAAAAGGCACATTCAATTTGTTAGCTTATTCAACTTTTTAAAGTTTTTTTTTTTAAACTAAAACAAAACAACAACAACCAAAACACCAAAACCCAAAACATCTATACTAATAAAAGAGTAATATGCTAATTAGACCAGGAGACCTTCCGGACATCCTTCTGGATAAAGCCATGGTGGTGGGGACAAGGCAGAGGCAGTTAGGGGCGATCAGGCCAGCAGGGGAGGGCAGTTGGGGGCGAGCAGGCTAGTGGTGGGGGGCAGTTGGGGTTGATCAGGCTGGAAGAGGGGGCAGTTGGGAGTGATCAGGCAGGCAGGCAGGTGAACGGTTAGGATTGCGAGAGGGATATCCGACTGCGGGATCAGGCCTAAACTGGCAGTCGGACATCCCCTGAGGGTCCCAGATTGGAGAGGGTGCAGACCGGGTTGAGGACCCCCCCTCCCATACATGAATTTCGTGCACCGGGCCACTAGTGTAAAATAAGAATCTTTTCTTAAATTTGGAAAATAAATGTGTTTCATTGTTACACTGTGATATATCTATCTGTAGAATTTTGTTCATGATCTGTTTTTTTCATCTGTTCCCATTCCTCCTTTAAAATGGTGTTTTTAAAAAGTTACATTTTTGAGGTAGAGAAGGAAGGAAGCATGTCTGAGTCTTAGGTAAGAGTGGCTTTACCCCAGCCTGTCTCCTGCACAGTCTCCAGTGCCTGGCCCTTGGGGAGCAGCATCAGAAAGCTTCCAAGACAGATTGACTTGGGGGTCTGGAGGCATCACACTGCTTAGTGACGAGTGGAAAACAGAAGGGCCTGCATTTCCAGTAGGGACCCTGAAGACTTCTAGCGGCTTCATTACTGTTACAAGATCCTGCTGCATAGATGGGGGCAGATCACTTTACACATATTTGACAGGAAAAGTTGCACCAGCTGTCTTCTAAGGCCTGTTCCAGATCTGAGAGACTATGGTGTTAACTTAAGCACTGTCTGTGCAGGGTTTCCTGTGTGCCAGGCAATGCTCTCTGTGTGCATATTTGTGACAGTCGTCTCTCGAGATTCTTATTCCTCACCTGCTTTAAGGGTGGGGCTCCTGAAATTTGGGAGGTTAATAAATAGTTATAAATGCCCACGGCCAGTAAGGGGCAAAACCAGGGTTCACATGGGCCTCAGACTCCAGAGCCATTGTGTATGCCAGCTGTCTCCCACTGAGTTTACTTGTGTGTGTTCTTCACCCAAGACAACTAGGTGTGATGTTTGTACAAGCTAGTGTACAACTCATGTTTCAGAAAGAGGAGGAAGAGTCTGTCAAGTTATGTGATTTCCTGCCGAGAAGAGGAAAGCTTAATTTCAGTTAGCTTTTCACATCCTTTGTAGAACTAAAGGCTCATTATACAATCCTATAGTTTGGTCCATTTTATGAAGTTAAGAAAAAGTGAACAAATTTTGTTTAGAAAATTTAATTTAATCACAGCAAACCCAAACCAGACATTTTAGCCATGAATAATCTTGTCTGTGAGGACAATATTTATTATACATTTGGAAGGAAAGATTGAAATAACTCTTAGTGTCTTTAACACACAATTTTTATTTTGCCAGTTTTAATAGAGATTTAGCCTCATCTACCCAGTGCAGAGGGTGCAGGGGGTGCCTCTCAGAAGAATGTGCCTGTAGTTTACATGTAGAGGAGGCACAGGGCCCTTTCCTGCTGGCACCCCTAATGGGCATGGTTTTGCAGAGGGGAATATGGATCCCTTCTCACTTCCTGCCACGCATTTATCCCCCATACACCAGCATCAGCAGTTCAGTTTTCCCATCCCTTCTGTCCTTGCCAGATGCATTGTTTTTAATTTCTGTTTTCCCCTGTTTCCATTCACTTAGCAAAAACTTGTCCAGTAAGTTAACATTTAGTTACAGACCTTCTCAATGCTTCCTGGTCACCTGGAAGAGCACCTGTCAGGAAATGCAGGCCCTTGTGTGCTTTTGAGTGGGTTTTAAGCCTTCAATTAATTAAAGAAGAGAAGGCAAGAAGATGGCCTTTGTTAGACTACTGATTTTGTGAGACTCCTGCCCTTTCTCCCCTCCTTCACTCTCCTGATTTATTCCATAGCAGTCAGAGAGAATGGATTCTGCCCAGCTGATATCTTATGAACTCAGTGTCCTAAGTTGTGTTGTCAGGTGTGTGCATGTGAAAAGGACGTCTGTATTTTGGTGATGTATAGTTTGTTGTCTCTCTTCTGGGTCTGAATGACAGAATTTGAAACACGTCAAATGTCCTGATCTATTATGCTGTTTTAACTGTGTGTGTATGTGTGCATATATTTATTTGTTTTCTTATTTATGTAAGGTGCCAGGTGGGCAAGAGCAAGAAGGAGATTTTAAAAAGCCATTTTTGTGTTTATTTTTAAAAAGTACCATCTAGGAAGGGATTGATTTTAAAAGTTTCAGTTGAGTGAGAAGAGCAGAGAGGCCATTCAGTCTGTTGTGTCCTTTCTCCAGGTGTCAGGTGAGCAGTTTGAGGTTGTGCTTGGAGCATTGTTCACAGTTCTGGGATTTAATGTGCATGTTGTTTCTGGTCACGACTCCAGTCCACAACAGGCAGCTGCAGATTCTTGGGGTGGGACCTTTTTGCTTGATAAATGTGGGAAGTAGTACAGCTTTTTTTTCTCTTGATAGCTGCATGTCTGAGAATGTGGCTTTTTAAGTTGGAGGGAAAGGTTCTTCTTCCATTGAAGCTCCGGGAAATAGGAGGGCTAGAATATTTGTTTTTACTTTAGTCATGACGAACAGCATTATTTCTTAAAATGTAGATCGAGGAGTGTCTGCATCAGAATTCTCCCAAGGGCCTATTACAAATATGTATTTCCAGACTTTCTGGATCCGAATTTTAAAGGATTGGTGTTGGAAATCTGCATTTTTAAAAAGCATCTGAGGTGATTCTTGTGTACACTGAGGTTTGAAAACCACATTTATGGAGGGAGAGGCAAACACCACTGTTCAAAGGTTAGACAACGACTGACATCATTGGTGATGTTGCTCATGTTGGCCTATGTAGCAAGTACTTTATGAAAAATATAGAAAAGGTGAAGCAGTTACCTGAACCTTTGGCTTCTGCTGGGATGGTCATTACCCTAATTGCTGTAGTAAAAATGAGAACAACTTATCTTGTTAGTTGTCCTTTGCCTGTTTGACTCATTCTAATAATTGGTAGGCATAAAAGTCTAATGAGAAAATACTTTGAATGTTTTGTGCTTTAATCATTCTGAATAAGAAATGAGAATGTGTTAAATTTATATAGTAAAGCAGTTTTGGCAAAATGTGTTAAAATGGTTTAGTGGGTTAAAATCACCATTTTCTTGCAAGACTTAATAGTGTGTAGCAAATGAAAATTGTTTTAAATACAGAAAGTAGCTAATTTAGCAAAAATACTCATTTGCTTCCTTTTCTTTTTAAACAGGAAAAACTAACCCAAGAGTGTGTATTCAGAGAACAGTTTGAAGAAAACTGGTATAATACGTACTCTTCGAATCTCTATAAACATGTGGACACTGGAAGGCGATACTATGTTGCATTAAATAAAGATGGGACCCCAAGAGAAGGAACGAGGACTAAACGGCACCAGAAATTCACACATTTTTTACCAAGACCAGTGGACCCTGACAAAGTACCTGAACTATATAAGGATATTCTCAGCCAAAGTTGACAAAGACCATTTCTTCACTTGAGCCCTTAAAAAAGTAACCACTATAAAGGTTCCGTGCAGTGGGTTCTTATTGATTAGCTGTGTCATCACATCTGCTCCACTGTTGCCAAACTTTGTCGCATGTATAACATAGGATGGAGGCTTGGATGGGGACGTGCTGACTTTGTGTTGCACTTACAGGCCTGTCCTCTGGGAGGCCTGCCTGTGCCCACTTGATTTATTGTGAGAAGAGACAAGGATGTGTGTATGTTAGTGTGTGTATGTGTAAGTGTGAGTGGATGAGCAACAGGAAATCAAAGACAGGAGCAAAGTAGAAGATGGTGGCCTGATGCATGCTGTGGTATAGACACACTTTCACATGTCTAATCAGTTGTCCTTCAGCTGGTATCAGCACAGCTGCCACAACTTTGACTCATGGGATCTTGGCTGGTGGCCTGCTCAAGGGTACACTGCATTTGCAAAGGCATGGAGGGTGCAGTCTTACTTAAGAGACCTTTTCAGTTAATTCTCACTGGTGCCATCCCAGTGAATTTAAAGCAAAGATCTCTTAGTTAAAGAAAAAAAAAAGTTAAATTTATTTATAGAAATTCCAAAGGCAACATTTTATTTATTTTATATATTTATTTATTATATAGAGTTTATTTTTAATGAAATATGTACAGGCCAGATAGGCATTTTGGAAGCTTAGGCTCTGTAAGCATTAAATGGGAAAGTCTGCTATGAACCTGTGGTGAATTCATGCAGATGAATATAACTTTGCATGGATATGAGAAATTCTAATGACCCTTAATGTACTGAAGGCGACAATCTCTTTTGTGCCCGTATTATTGTAAACTTATGCACATCATTCATGACACTGAGTATTCACTCTTCAGAATGCTTGTTTCATAGCTTATCCCAGAGGATTAAAGATAAACTGGGTCTCAAACTTTTATTCTGTGTCTGTACTATTTACTCTCTCATAAGTGACTGACGCCATCCTTGTAATGTCACAGTTGGAAAATATGAGGGTCAGTATATAGCCGACTCGTCTAAATCTATTGCAGAATGTACCAAAGCTAAGCAGTAGCCATGCTTTTATTTTAGTTGGTCTCTAGAACAACAGGATGAACATCAAACATTGTACTGATTTAGAGTTCTCAAAAAGGAAAAAAAAAGCTTACATAGCACAGATTATTCTTTAAAGAGACACCTGAACCAGATTAGTAGGATCATTCTTGTAAACTTTTTATTTGTACATTTGGTTATCAAATATGAAATTATACAAGTACCATAGAGGTCATTGTAACATTTTTAATGGAAAATTGATTTTGGTGTGAACTGTCATAATACGTAGTATTAGAACCTTCAAGTAAAACTTGCAAATGAAACTAATAACTCTTCATTAATAATTGACAATGAGGGGGAAGTATTATATTTGTTGACTGTTTTGCTTTTAAAAAGGTCTTCACAAGCGCTCAGTTTTTTAAAGAGGAGGTTACTATATAGACTATCTTTTACAAGGCTTTTATAACATTTTATGCTGAAAAGCCTAAGAATACATATTTATTTAGTAGCAATAATTTTGGAACTTGCCCTTGGGCAAGGGAGACTATTCCTTACTATATCTAAGGAGAAAAGAGCCAAATTCTTAAAGCAATATTTAAGAAAAAGGAGTTTATAACAAATTCTCATACCATAGAGAATAGTTTTTAGTCAGTTATGTTGGGAAATTAAAAGTGACAGTTAAAAAATGTGTTGGAATTTATGTAGCTAATTTTAAAATTTAATACTCCAACTTTGTTTTGCTGTGATGCATATTCTCTATGAAAAATAAAGGTATGTCACTAGTGAGTTAAAGCTGTTTTGAAGTAGAAGCCCATGACTTATAGCCGTGAACATATGTGGCTCTTCTAAGGTCCAAGCTGGAGCACACAGAAGAGTCCTCCTGCTGATAGGCATTAAGGAAAAATTAAGTCTAACCTTTGGAATTAAGAAATATTTTGGGGGTGGGGGACTGAAGCAATATAAGATAATTTACAATAAAGGTCAGATTGTTCTCTTCATTTAGTCCCCCCCCCCTTTTTTTTAACTTTCTAAAGAGAAACTGTATTTAATCCCTAGATGTAGTAGTCTTATTTATTATTTAACTCTTTGCTGCTGTTAAAATGTGCACATATTCAGGCTTTAGTTCTTCCAAAAGGCATTTAATATTTTTGACTGAGAAACATTAAACATCTGACCACTGGGATGAATCAAGTTTGTAGGATGTCATAGGTACAATATTTAGCACTGAAAAAATTGATTTTAGGTGATAACCAAAAGTAAAGGAGCATGAGGTGCAATTAGCCCAAAATAAAGAAAACAATTTGTGAAAAAGACTAAAAGCTCCATGCATTCCTAGAAAAATGCTACTTTAATGTCTACATTTGGAGTTATTTTGTTTTGGTACCTATTTTTTAAAAAAAGAGAAAAATGTTTTTTTTTGCTTTTGGCAATGGATACAATAAACTGTAATGGTCTGTAAATAAATAAATATTGACTTATGCAATTTATGTAAATAAGTGTTCTGGGAGAGTAGATTGCTCAGGGTTTTGGTGGGCATTGTTCTATTGGGCAGCAGAGTGAGCTCATAGGTTTGCATCTGGTTCTTTGCCTAAGAGACTTAGAGCCCTTCATTTGGCAGCCCTTAGCTACTGTGGAATGGGTGGTCCCAGCTTTCACCAACAGATGTTTAGACAGCCCAACCACTATGTAATTGGTGCCAATATGTGCACCTTGGTTAATATTTAACATGATTGAACCACCCTCCCATCTATCTTGTGAATATCCCAGGCAGTGTCGAAGGACGTGCCAGGTTGGGGAACCTATCTCCACTAGATTCTGTTGTGTAGATAAATGAATGGTTTCAGTTTATGGTGTTTTCATTCTGTTTCTTCTCATGAACACTACACCTTGCATGATTTCCTTGATAATCTGTAATTGTGTAAATACATAATTATAGACTTTTGAAAACGTATTTTTTTAACTTGATGTCCATTTTGGAGCTGCTTCAAATTATGTGCCTACTTGAGCCAATGGAATTTTAAAACATGCTCTTCTTGCTCTTATAGCTGTTGCATATATGTTGAGTGAGTAGGGGGTGGGAGATGGAAGGGGAGGAACAAACACATCTAGATGCCTTTTCTTTCTGTAAGCATTAGATGGAGAAGCAGGGAACCTTCTGGGATAGACATTTATGGAATTGTAGCAAGGAAAATTGTGTGTGTGTGGACATTTGTGTGGATGGGTGAATGGACAAAGTCACATTGTTTGAGGTCAAATTCTGTTTGCTGAATCATTTGACCTTGAAATGTGCCAAATTTATGTAGATCTAGTTTTTGGTCACTTGCACCAAAGAGCAATGCAGTGGTGGGGTGGGGGAATACAGATGGATTCAGAAGATGTGTTGGCTAACAAGCCCCTCTGGAGGTCATGTGTGTGTATATGTGTGTTATACATGTTATGTAATACCCACGTGTGTGCATAGACATTGCACAATTTATTTAAAACTCTTTTTTTTCCACTTCAATAATTTTGAGTTTTGGTAGTTTCTAAGAGCAAACTGGTGATGTTCAAGCATTTTATCCTGGCATTACCATGAAGTTTTAAAAAGTATATTCCTTGAGCCTCAAAACATGCCTAGACAGTTTAGGACATACATTGCCTATGTTAATTTACTTTAATTTATTTTTATTCCCATACCCCCACCCCCTTTGGCAACTATCAGCTGTATTTATGAGTCTTTTTTTGTTTTGTTTTATTTATTTATTTAGGGTACTTTTTTTTTTTTAGATTCCACATATAAATGAGATCATATGGTATTTGTCTTTCTCTAACATTCACTTAGCATAATACTCTTCAGGTCCATCCATTTTGTCCTAAATAACAAGATTTCATTCTTTTTTATAACTGTGTCATATTCCATTGTGCATATGGACCACATTTTCTTTATCAATGGACACTTGAGTCGCTTCTGTATCTTGGCTATTGTAAATAATACTGCAATGAACATAGGGGTGCATATATATATTTTTTTGAATTAGTGTTTTGGGTTTCTTTGGATAAACACCTAGAGGTGGGATTGCTGGGTCATAAGGTAGTTCTATTTTTAATTTTTTGAGGAAATTCCATACTCTTTTCCATACTGACTGTAGCAATTTGCATTTCCACTAACAATATACAAGGGTTTCCTTTTCTCCACATTCTTGCCAACACTGTTTGTTGATTTATAAATTTAGTCAATTTGACAGATGTAATGTCTCATTGTAGTTTTAATTTGCATTTTCCAGATGACTAGTAATACTGAGCATCTTTTATATATTGGCCATCTGTATGTCCTCTTTGGAGAAATATCTGCTTAGGTTCTCTGCCCATTTTTAAAATTGTATTGTTTGTTTTTTTTTTGTGTTCAGTTGTGAGTTCTTTATAAGTTTTGGATATTAACTCCTTATCGAATATATAATTTGTTAATATGTCTTTTAATTGAAGCATTTCATCCATTTACATTTAGAGGAATTATTTATAAATATGTACTTATTGCCATTTTATTAATTGTTTTTAAGTTGTTTCTATAGTTCTCCTCTTCTCTTCTTGATCTCTTCCCTTGTGGTTTGCTGTTTTTCTTTAGTGTTTTGTTTAGTTTCCTTTCTCTTTATTCTTTGTATGTCTTTTGTAGGTTTTTGGTTTGTGGTTGCCATGAGATTTATGTTTATCATTCTTTATCTATTTTAAGCTGATAGGTGTTTAAATTAGAATATATTCTATAAGGGCTACATTTTTACTTTCCCTTCTATGTTTTATGTTATTGATGTCATATTTTAGATCCTTTTGTGTTGTGTATCTAACTACATATTGTAGTTTGAGTTGAGTTTGATACTTTTTTCTTTTAACTTTTGTAGTTGCTTTTAAGATGTCAGATTGCTATATTTACTGAATGTTTGGCTCTACCTGTGAGGATTTTACGTTTCTTATATTCTAAAATTTTTCTGGTTCTGGCCTTCCCTTTTCTACTGGTAAGTAACATCATTGTGGGATTTCTGTTTCTAACTAATAAAAAGACTTTTACTAGTCTGTGAAGATATTAGTTATAACTGCTCTTTCTGAAGGAAGCCATACTCAGAACATCCCTCTGTGGTTGACTTGCTTTCCCCTGGTCTCTCTTTCTTGCTCCTTCTTGTCCTATTTTTCTATTCTCCACTCCCTCCTACCTTTGTTTTATTGTGTGGTGCTGGCAGTAAGGACATGAACAGTCCTGATGGCACACAGAGTTTAATCAAACAGACATCTTGGTAGATCATGAAGAACATGGTAATGAGGGAACCAGGGGCTGTGGGACAGAAGGTGCACCCAATACAGACTTAATGAGGTCAGAGGTGAGATGCAAAAGTGAGTAGGAGAGCAATGGGGGAAAAAAAGAGCACGTGTAATACTTTCAACAATAAAGATTTATTTTAAAGAAGTCACACTAAAGAGGTACAATTAATTAATTTTAATATATTGTATTCACAGTAACCAAAATTGTGTGTTTTGATAAATGATAATAGAAATTCTAGTTTTAAAGTAAAAAAAAAAGTGAGTAGGAGGTCCAGACGAGAGAGCTATAGTCTCTAGCATTTGAAATATGCTACAAGAGTGCTTTGTACTTGGAGAATTTGGGTGCATCATATATTTTTTTTCATGTTTCCTGGACAACTGTGACTGAGCCTGTTTGACAAGCATTTATTCTGGTTTCTTACCTCTAGTAGGGGCAGTGGTTTTTGAGGTGATTAGAACCATTTGTGAATCAGACCAGCTTGTTGCCCTGGACTTATCAAGGGCATGACCAGAATGCTCTTTGTTACTCTTGGTTTCTATCCAGAGGAAGCTGACTCTTCATTTTCCTTAATATTACTCACTTCATTTTTCCCCTTCATGTCATAGGCAAAATTCACAACAGAGTGGCAATTAAAATGTAAGATAATAAGGGGTGAAAATACAACCTAATTTTAAACATATCTACTTCATTCTTTGAATAAATGGGTATTGAGCAATTGCTACACAATGGAACAGAGCTGAGGATATAGTGGAGAAGAGAATAGAAAACATTCTGATCTTGTTACTTAAACCCTGAGTTGAGTTCTATGTCAATGATTTTATAAGCATGCAGTACCTGTTTAAGATACTGTTTAAGATACTGTGGGACTGGGATGCCCACATTACAAGGCAATTAGGTCAATGTTGGCAAATTTTCATAAACTTTCCATATCTTTAACTATGAATTCAACTTACATTTACATAAAAGGATATAAGAAGTCAGTCCTATTATGTGTTTTTTTTCAGCTTTTCATATAAACTTGGGTGGTTTTAAAAAAATCTTTATTGTTAAGAGTATTACAGATATTCCCTCTTTTTTCCCCATTGCCCCCCTCACCCAGTTCCTGCCCCACCCCAGGCCTTCACTACCCTATTGTCTGTGTTCCTAGGTGAGATCTTTGGTTAATCAGTTCCTGCACTCCCCTCCCCACTTCCCTCAGACTCATCAGTCTGTTCCATGTTTCCATGCCTCTGGTTCTGTTTTATTCATGAGTTTATTTTGTTCATTAGATTTCTTGTTTGCTTATTTTGATTTTTAGATTCAATTGATAGATAAGTATTTATTGCCATTTTATTTTTCATATTTTTATCTCTTCTTCCTTTTCCTTGTCTTCTTCCTCTTCCCCTACTTAAAGAATACCCTTCAACATTTCTTTTAACACTGGTTTAGTGGTGATGAGATCCTTTAGCATTTTCTTTTCTGTGAAGCTCTTTATCTGACCTCCAATTCTAAATGAGAGCTTTGCTGGGTAGAGTAATCTTGGTTGTAGGTCCTTGCTACTCATCACTTTGAATATTTTCTTGCCAATTCCTCTGGCCTGCAAAGTTTCTGTTGAGAAATCAGCTGACAGTCATATGGGTGCTCCCTTGTAGGCAACTAACTGCTTTTCTCTTGCTGCTTTTAAAATTCTCTTTGTCTTTAATCCTTGGCATTTTAATTATGATGTGTCTTGGTGTGGGTCTCTTTGCATTCCTCTTATCTGGGACTCTGCGTTTTCTTGACTG